CCGTAAATGAAAACCAACCCATTCCCCCCCCAAGCCCTTCATTTCCCCCCCCCCCCCCCCCCCCCCCCCTCCCCCTCTCCCTCTCCCTCTCCCTTCGTCCTCGCGCCCGCGCTTCTCCAGATCGCACCACCGCTTTCTCTACGCTATGGCACGCCACTCCGTCGCCCGCGCGCTCGCGCTCCTTTCCTCTGTCTTCGCCCTCGCCGTTGCCACCCTGTCCTTCGACGAGGAAGGCGGCAGCACCGATCCGCGCCGCACCGTCGTGCTTCCGTCGTTCGGCGACGCCTCCGTCACTGTCACCGTGTTCAACCCGTTCGGCGATCTCACCGTCGAGGCGGACGACACTTTTGTCCTAGTCTCCGAGCCCATCGTCTCGGGCACTAACTACACCTACGAGTTTTCGTTCACAGGTAACGTCGGCGTCACCCAGTATTCCATGTCGGCTGGTGACTATACCCTCGAAGGCACTTTCGTTATCGCTGGGTTCGTCATCCTCGACGACGGCAAGGTCGTCTCCGGTGAGGATCGCGACGGCGTCTCCGTCGGCCAGGAAGGTTCTTTCGAGTATGAGGTTAAAGCCGTTGGCACTGACGGCAATGATGTCGATCTCTCCGGCACTAACATCGACCCGCGCCCTGACTCGGGTGTCTACATGGAGGAAGTCAACCAGGGTAACACTGGCTTTTCCGACGGCAAGTTTACACTCGCTATCAACAAGCTTCGTGTGGGTACGGGGCGCTTCATTATTTCCTTTGAGGCCAGCAACATCGAGCACCGAGGTGAGACTTTCGAGACCGTGCTCCATGTCAGGCAGAGTACCGATCCGGTCCCTCCATGTGTTGTCGAAGGCTCTAGCCTCGTCAGCAAGGGCGGTGTCGTCGAGGTCATCATGTACAATATTCTCACCCCTCCGAGGGGCTCCCCCGTGTCAGAGATTGTTCTGAAGATCGGTGATACTTCCACGTCCTTCTCATCGTCGTCCTCCAGCCTCAAGCTGCCCACCTCCACCGTCGTTTTCGAGGGCGTGTCCGGAGTTGGACCCGCTGAGATCACCTGTGACGGGGAAGCCGCCGTTGTCGTTCCGACTGCCGATGATGACGGTGACGACTTGACTGTTGTCTCCGGTGGCGCTTCTGAGCCGCTAGCAAAGGATGAGCTTGTGACTGAGTACCCGTCTTCAGATACGGAGGCGCGTATCACCTCTACCATCCGTGTCGTGAACAGCTCCCCGGATGTGTTGACTGTTTCTGAGGCAAATGCCATCATTACGGAGTACTGCCGTGTGGCCGAATGCCAGGAGATCGGTGTAAGGAGTATCCTTGAGGGCTCTGCCCTCCTTGACATTGGTGCCCTTGTGGAAGACGCTGATGTGGCCAAGGCTGACTTGAGGAAGTCATTTGACGATTGCGAATTCCAAGAGAAGACCGACTACGCTTGTGACGAGTTGGAACTTCTCGAGGTGCGATCCACTAACGCCATTGCCGCTACCGTCGCCACTGCCGGTATTGCGACATGGACTATTATTCTAATCTCCGTAGTCGGGGCCATCGGACTAGTGGCCGTGCTTACCCTCGCCGCCTGGGCTGTGCACAGGCGGCATGCTTCCCGCGAATCTGAATCGAGCTATTCCTCTTCTGGACCACTGGGCGTGCCGGACCCGTCTGACCTTCTTTACGAGCAGTCTATTGTACGTGATGTCTACGGTCGCGGTGAAGACGGTGGGCCGTCAGAGCAGGCCGCGGTGGATTCTGAGAGAGCAGCCGCCATGCGGGAAGAATTCCCAAAACCGCCTTCATCTTCCAGCCTTTCCCGGGGCAATCGCTCTAGCGACGCTAGCTCAACTTACTCGGTTTAGATATGTTCAGCTGACTGTCCGAGGCGGAAGGGATTGTAGATAGCGGAGGGTAGGGGGGGATTGCAAACCATGTTTTTTCGCATTCTGCGGGAGCATCAGGACCCAGGGAAGTAAACAATTATTGACTTTTCTTTCGTCAGTGACGGTGTCGCAGTGATTTAGGTTTTTGCGGATTAGACGCAGTTGTACTTGCGATGCAGTAGTGAGTCATGAATCACAGGTACAGGTGGTATCTTGTACGAAGATGTGGGTAAGTTTTGTTTCTTCCGAAGCTGCAGGTGGTATACGGGGAAACTGTAGATAGCGCCACTGCATCGCGAAACGCGTTTGGATGGCGTCGCTCGCGTGTACGAAAATACTAATTTATCCCCTGCTTCCATTCTTGGATCGCAGTCAACTGCTCACTGCACCCCACATACAGTACCAAGGGTACTGTATACGCCGTCTTCACAACGTCCGTACGGTGGTGTACACCGCCGTACCGTCCCGTATCGCCATCCGTCCCGTTGAGCCCAATGCAGCCAGCCTGCGACAGGTACACTTTGCACGAGCGCGCGCTGTAAAAACCACGCGTCGCGTGCACCATTCCGCGCCGCCTCGCGTCCTCAGCCAAGCAAGCGGGCTCCCCCGCCTCTCGCGCGGCGGCAAATATCGCGTGTCCCGGGGCGCGCGCGCGTGCGCGCCCGGCGTGGCGCCGTTCCCGGGTTCCCGGGGGGGGGGGGGGGTCGTCTTCTATTGCTGCTACTGTGACATTGCGCCCATTCAAAACAAACTCA